ACCATGAAATACCACCTCAACCTAGTAGATATTTTAGGTTAACATTGGTATTTTTCTGTAATTGCAAGACCCACTACTCTTGACAGATAAATAAGTGATTTTAGAAAACATTATCTTCAAAGTGGAATACAAAGCCAAAGGTATCAAAACACCAGGAAAGTTTTAAAACCAAGGGTCATTTCTTAATAACTGGAAAAATATCTACTGCCTTCCAACCTAGGTATCATTATCATAACTGAATTATTTCTTAACATGACATAGTAATGCCCAATATGTTTTACATAGTTATGTCATTTACAAATGAAGAAGATCTTCATTGATTTTCCCAAAGTCTTACAATTAGTAAAGTGGCAAAGAATTCAAACCCATTTCTTTTTAAAAGCCTACACTTTAAAGCATTGCTTTCTATTACCACAAACTACACAATTTGGACTAATATATTGATCACTGAACACCAAATAAGATTTACTTTTGGTTCAAAGGACAGAAAAGGAAGATAATGTTGATAATTAACTTGTTTTAATTTCTTTCTGAGATGCTTCTCCTGTAATCGCTGAAAGCTGGTTCAGTATTGCAGTGGCTACTGCTTCACCTAGGTATACTCTAGGAAGGGGTAAAAGAACACTTTTCTAGTACCAATATCTCATTCTTCAAAGAAAGAGGGGTCACACACAGTATGTATTCTATCTGGTTCTATTATATTTTTTCAATAACTTTATTTTTTAGTCTAACCTGCCACTATTTCCTTCTTTTAACTTTGGCTTCAGAATGGCACTTTGTTTTGTAAACCCATTTTGTCCAGGTAATGATATATTTCTATCATGATGAGTTATTTTAATATACTTCAGTATTATTATTATGTGTAAATAAAATTATATTAATCTACAGCTACACTTAAGGGGACTTTTATTAGTATAAGAAAAATTTTAGTAGTCATTTATTTGAGAAATTTGTTATATTTTAAGGTTTACATAAGATTGGAAGAGGGAACGCATCACCATTCAGAAATAAAATTTTAAAATATGCAAGTTCATCTATCAATAAACAGAATTAGAACTATTACCCATGTATCAAATCTGGCTGGTATTCTATTTTGTAAATAAAATTTTATTGCAACATCAGTTTGACCGATATTTCTATTGTTTAAACCTCAGTCATGTGCTTCAATTAATTGCAAGAGAAGCTGTGAAATATAATTAGTTGAGTCTTAAATAAAGTGAAAATAAAGTTGTTGAAAAGCTAGCCACTTTCCACCATAGAGAACTTTTATAGTTAGATTTAATTAGGTATAATATTTAATAAGATGTGATAGAGTAATAAAATACACAAAGATATCTTCTAAGTGAATCCATGTAGATGGTTATATATCCAGATGTGCTGGGAAATACAGAAAAAAGCAAGATTTTGGAGAATAAGATAATAGTATGAATATATAAATGAATTCCACTTTAATGTACAACTTAAAAAAATGTCAGGCTTCAAAGTAGAGGTGTTTGGCATGCATTTTGGTACTATAGGATGCATATCAGGACTGAGATACAGAGTTTGGATTATTCAAAACAAACAGTAAGTGGCAGTAAATTTCATGAAGCTGACTTGAGACATTACATAAATAAGAGAGTTATAAACATTAAGAATATAGTAACATATTTGACTCAGGAGAAGTAATAGAGACAAAAAAATGAATAAAATATCCTTTGCCTTCAAGAAGCTCACAGTTGGCTGGCAATAGTCCAAAAATACTGTTGATTGCCTGTTGTGTGGTAAAAACTATAAAAGATTCATGGCATGGAATGGAAGCATAGAGGAAGGGAGCAACAAATACTCAGCAAATGTATGGATTAAATGATGTGTTCCAGATACATTACACAAATAAGCTCACTATTCCTTGGTGGTTCTCCTTAAATAGTTAATGAATCCTCATATAATTACAGAGAGGATGATTTCTGCTTCCACTCTGCACACTTAACCTTTATTAAATGCTTACTTTGTTGAAAATACTGTGCTGTTTTATTTATATGGGATTATCTTCAATTACGTCTCATAATAATGCTACCTGAAATGGATCATTGTTTTCATTAAAGCCCTAAACATATTATTTCAAAACTGGAATAGAAAACTGAATTAGGTAAACTTGCTTTAGTAAAGTTAATATCTGTTATACTTTCTACCACCCCACCACCCCCATAATATATCCCTTTGTTCTTTTTGAAGAATAATTAGAAATACCAATATGACTTGCTCAATAGTTATATGCTACTTAATAGGAAAATGAGAGCTGGTGTCATAGATTTAAATAGCTATTATTCCTATCAGAATCCCAATGGCATTCTTCATAGAAATAGAAAAAGCAATCATGAAATTCATCTGAAAAAATAAGAGAACCAGAATAGCTAAAGCAATCCTTAACAGGAAGAGTGAATCAGGTGGCATCACTATACCAGACCTTAAACTATACTACAGAGCAATAGTAACAAAAACAGCATGGTATTGGCACCAAAACAGGTTGGTAGACCAATGGTACAGAATAGAGGACACAGAGACAAACCCACAAAATTACAATTATCTTATATTAGACAAAGGTATCAAAACATGCATTGGAGAAAAGACAGCCTCTTCAACAAATGGTGCTAGGAAAACTGAAAATCCATATGGAACAAAATGAAACTAAACCCCTATCTCTCATCATGTACAAAATTCAATCAAAATGGATCAAGGACTTAGGAATACAACCAGAGACCCTGTGTCTAATACAAGAAAAAGTAGGCCCTAATCTCCATCATGTGGGATTAGGCCCCAACTTCCTTAATTGGACTCCTATAGTGCAAGAATTAAAACCAAGAATCAATAAATGGGATGGACTCAAACTAAAAATTTCTTCTCAGCAAAAGAAGCAATCTGTGAGTTGAACAGAGAGCCTACATCTTGGGAGCAAATTTTCACCCCCCCCCCATCAAATAGAGCACTAATCTCTAGGGTATATAAAGAACTCAAAAAGCTAAACACCAAAAAGCAAATAACCCAATTAATAAATGGGCCAAGAAGATGAACAGACACTTCTCAGAAGATATAAAATCAATCAACAAATATATGAAAAAATGTTCATCATCTCTAGCAATTAGAGAAATGCAAATAAAAACTACTCTAAGATACCATCTCACTCTAGTCAGAATGGCAGCTATTATGAAGACAAACAACAATAAGTGTTGAAGAAGATGCGGGCAAAAACGCAAACTAATACATTGCTGGTGGGACTGCAAATTGGTGCAGCCAATATAGAAAGCAGTATGGAAATTCCTTGGAAATCTGGGAATGGAACTACCTTTTGATCCAGCTATCACTCTCCTCGGACTATACCCAAAGGACTTTAAAATAGCATACTACAGGGACACAGCCACATCAATGTTTACAGCAGCACAATTCACAATAGCTAAACTGTGGAGCCAACTTAGATATTCCTCAGTGGATGAATGGATAAAAAAAATATGTGGCATATATATACAATGGAATTTTACTCAGCAATAAAAGAGAATAAAATCGTGGCATTTGAAAGTAAATGGATGGTGCTGGAGAAGATAATGCTAAGTCAAGTTAGCCAATCCCAAAAAAAAACAAATGCCGAATGTTTTCTCTGATTTAAGGAGGCTGACTCATAGTGGGGTAGGGAGGGAGAGCATGGGAGGAATAGATGAATTCTAGATAGGGAAGAGGGGTGGAAGGGAAAGGGAGGGGGCAGGGGATTAGCAAGGATGGAAGAATGTGATACAAAGTACATGTATGAAGACATGAGTTGATGTTAACGTACTTTATATACAAACAGAGGTATGAAAATTGTTCCATATGTGTAACAAGAATTGTGATGCATTCCGCTGTCATGTATTTAAAAAATAAAACCAATAAAATAAATAAATAGACAGTTGTTTTTTACTGAAAATTAAGAAAATACTACCAGCATTTGATAGCAGTCCAGCATAGAAGCATGAATGAATAAGCTCTGGAAACTGATAAAATTAGAGAATTTTTAAAGCAATGCAGGCTTAAAATACATGTATCTAACTGATTAATATAAAACAGAAATTCTGAGTGTTATTACTTATATCGTAATGAGTGATGTCACAATTATAGTGGTATATATATCTTCCTTAGATAAGTGAAAACACATTAAAAATTGATAAAAAATTTTAAAAAGGATTTTTATGTTTTTAATGTTTTTCTTTGTTTTTCAAGTTTGCTACCATCAGTATTAAGCAGACTTAAAATTATTTATATCATTTCTACATACTTTATGATCTCAATTACTTATAATTATATGTATTCTTTCCTGTTTCTCTTTCTACCTTTATTTCTCTTCCATGCCTCCACATATATGCAAAAAAAAAAAAGACAAACCCATCAAAAGTACACCCAGATCTTACAACCTCCAAAAAAGGCAATAAGATTGTTTACTTTTCATCATTTATATTTGCTAAATATTTATGAAAGTACAAATCACTGATACAATTCTGAAACCCCTACTTTGAAAAAATAAATCCAGAAATTGTTTTAATAAAATAAACAGGAAATATAATCAAATGTATTAAAGTAAGTAATGAAAGAAGTCAAATAAGCAATATCTTAATAAAAGTCAGCAGTAGGGGCAAAAAATTACTATGCTAACCTTGCCAGAGAAACTGAAAATACCTTACATATTGCTACACTCAGAGAGGATATAAAAGAGAATATATACAGCATCTTTTCAATATTGCCTGTAGTAATGGAAATCTGTTTTAATTGTTCCTTGGGAAGCTGGATATATAAGAAAACTTTTAGTGCTGCTAAGTCAACTTGATTTAAGTTATGATTAATACAAGAAACACTCTAGTCTTTATATTTTTAAAAGATTTACATATAAATCCATCTTGTGACACAGAGCATTTCTTTCATAGTATCACTTCAAAGTACATTAGGTAAATGTAATGGACTAAACTTAAGATCATCATAGAATGTGATCTGCCATTGGTTCATTTTGACATTCTATTGGGAATATTGAATACAAAATTTGTTTTCACAAGTGCAACTCTTGATTTAGCTTCTTGATATCTCTCAACGTCTTTTTGAAAATTAAGCATATCCATAACAAACTTTTCTGCACAGTGTTTTCTGGATATTTCTTGAGCCCTAAAAGGAAAAAGAAATGATTATAAAATGTGATGGTTTTAGGTTATTAAAATAGTAATAATTAGATTGTTACTTAGGTTATTAAAACACTAATTATTAGATTATCACTAATGATAATTAGATGGTTTCAAAACAGACATATCAAATGGGAAAAAGAACTCCATTTAGAGCTTGGTGCAGTGGTGCATGCCGCCTGTAATCCCAGGGGCTTAGGAAGCTGAGGCAGGAGGATTGAAAATTGAAGGCCAGCCTTAGCAACTTAGGAAGACCCCATCTGAAAATTAAAAATATAAAAGGGCTGGGATGTATAGTTCAGTGGTTAAATTCGAAGTTCTCTCTACCCACGTTTCTTCATCTTTTACAAAGGGATAAGCCAACTCATAGAGATTAGAAAGAGATTAGAAGAGGATTTAATGAGTTTTTACATTAAAAATTTATATAAGAATTCCTGACATTTAAAAATTATGCTTTCTGGATGAATAATAGTGGTTTTCATCAGACTAAGAAATGTAGGAAGAGCAAAAAGATGGGAAAATTTAGTTTTGTTTTGTTAACATTGACCTTCAAGAACCTTGCTATCCATGCCATGACTTTCAAGGAGCAAATATAGAAATACAATGGATTGTTGTAAGAGTATAGGCAGTAAAATCATTCTTTCGGGGTTTAAAATCCAGCACTGAAACTTAAGGATTGTATGATTTGAATGAGTTATTTAAAATTTCTGCCTCTTTTCTTCATCTTTTTGAAGTTTGGCAATCCAATTCATATGTTTAGTAAGAAGCAAGAAAACGACTACACATAAAATCCTTAAAGGAGTTCCTGTAATTTAATAATTATTCAATAAAAGATAGTTGCTACTATTTTGACTCTGGATGCATAGTAGAGTAAAATTAATGGCCAAAAAGATTTTATGCATAAAATTAAGGATATTAGTTAAGAAAAATATTAAAATAGCCACCTTAGCAGATAAAAACTGTGGAAAATGTAAAAACAGAATTTAAAATAATTGAAGAGTGAGAAACACAAAATAATCAATTATTTTTATATATACCATAATCAAACAATTAGAAAATGAAATCAAGAAAAAACTTCACTTAAAATATGATCAGAAAAACATAAGGTACTTAAACATAAGTTTGATAAAAGTTAAGCAAGACCTATATTTGAAAATAATAAAATATTGCTGAGAGAAATCAAAGAAGACCTAAGTGAATGAAGAGTTATGCCATGTACAAGAATTGGTATAAGCTGTCAATTCTCTCCCAAATTAATACATAGTCAATAAAATTTCAGTTTATATGCAAAGATTATTTGGGGTAGAAATGAATTATCATTCAAATTTGTTTTGAAGATACATTAGATTTAATTTATTTATTTTTAATGATTAAACTTAATTTTTAAAAATTTGTTAAACATTTTATAGAAATTCAAAGGTCCTCAGACAATCAAAGCAATCTTATGGAAAGGAGAACAAAGTTGGAATTTCTGTTTTACATCCATAAATAGGTTGACTTATAATAACAATCTTATATTATCTCATAGTTCTCATGAGTCAGAAGTCCAGGCATGGCATGTCTCATTTTTTTGTCATGTTTTTGTTTTGTTTGTTTCTCCCTCCATCTTTATGTTACCAATGTCATGTCAAATCCTTCTCATTTAATCCCTCTGACTTTCTTTTTTGCCCTGAATTTAAAGGCTAATGTAATTACATTGGGTCCACCAGGACAATCCAGTATAATCTATTTAATATGGACTAATTAACATTATTAATTATATGTGCAGGGTTCCCTTTACTATCACATTTACAGGTGTGGTATCTCAACTTATTCATAGCCCTGGAGATAAGAGCTGGGCATCCATCTTCTTGGGGGCCATAATTCTGATTAATGGAGAGATATTCATTCTATAGTTTTACAGATTACTAAGAATATAAGTAGAAAGATTATTAGCTTCTAACAGAAATTGGAAAGCTAATCCTGAAATAGTAGGGAAAAAGGTGGATATATCCATAATATACAGAATTTTATAGATATGGATATACTAAATTGAATGAATTCAAGCTGGAAGGCCTAAATTGTTTTGGAAAATAAATTTCTTTGTGATAAAGTGGCTTGCTGAGAAGTAGATCATAAGTGGTGTTGGACAGGGTGATGGTTTGAAATTACTCTTGTAGTTAGTGGTTAAAGAACAAGCTACTGAGGGAGCAGTTAAAGTCAGAGGTCATAAAATTAACATTGGCATAAATGTAGAGGTCAGTTATTTCCTCTTCCCATTTTGGTTTAACTTCAAGAAATAAATATAGACAATTGGATTGTTCCCACATAGGAGTTGATGATATATGTGTGTGTGTGTGTGTGTGTGTGTGTGTGTATAGATATATATTCACACATATATATTTAAAACTATATATTTGAAAATGTGTGTTGTGAAAGTAAAGGAAAAAATTGAACAGGAAGATTTTAGTCACAGATAAATAAGTATATCAAAATCTAAAATTTCAGAAGTGGGGCAGTTCCAAGTGATGAGAGAGTCTTTTTGTGTCTATAGATATAAGTTTACTAATGTAAAATACAATAAGGATTGTTGGAATCCAAAATGGTTAACATTAGGTTTGGTAATTTTTGATGTTAAATAATTGTTGATTTTAGGTAATTTGAAAGTTTACCATGATTTGGGCAGTGGCTGGTTGGAGAAAAGCTTTATGATTCAGGATAAACTTCTTTAATTCACACTTAGGTACTCCTGTGGATATTTTATCAACTTACTAAATTAGAATTTTCTTTTTCCCTGTTGTTTTTTCCCCCTTTATTTCACATTGCAGGATCAAGGGGCTACATTCCTAATAACAACTTCACTAATTATTGAGATTCATTTAGACTTTCTAAGTCAAGTGATTGATACTGATACATTAATGAAGAATCAACAGCAAAAAATGTATCAGGATTGAAAAACTTCTGATGTCTCTAGACAAATTTTATTTTTTATTTTTTTTGTGTCACAGTTCCTTTCTGTTTATTAATACTCAATTTTTGTTTTTTAAGAAAAACAGTAAAACTCAAAATTTGGTGGGTGTTGGGGGGGGAAGAATACTACTGACATAAACAACACTTTCAAGGATATCTTTTCAGACTTAGAAGATAATTCAGTTAAGATTCATTACATTACAAAGCTCATTTGATTCTGCATCTTTTTTGAATTAAGTATGGTTAGATATGCAATTTACTGTGATTAAAAACTAAACTTATTAAATTTATCCAATGTTAATTTTCACTAGACATATTTTGATATAGCAAACTAGATTTCATTCTTTTCCAAGATACATTTTTAATAAAAATTATAAAAAATTATTTTCAAAATTACAAACACACACACACACACACACACACACCATACATTAAGATAAAGGATTTTAAATTTGGAGAGATAAAAACATAAAATACAACTCTACAAGTTATAATTAGTAAGGCAAATGTTTCTTGTTTATACAAATATAAATAAATTTTGTGTGGCATAAATATTTCCCAGTGGAGATATATATATTATATTAGCATTCTTATTAACACACACACACACACACACACATATATATATATATATACACACTTCTTGCATTTTCATTTTAACTGGTTGTAACTTTTTACTGTTTCTTCTTCATTATTCTGTTGAATAAATTTTTGCATGTGCTAATTTTACATATGTTTGAGTCCTGTTTTTATTCTCTTAGAATATATTCTTTGACAACTACTGAAATTTAAATTTGCTACACATAGATTAAAATATTTTGAATCAATATTAATTCTCAGAGCTTCTACACCTCAAAAATTTAAATAAAAATAAAAAAGTCTTTATGGCAAAACAATTTACTTTTTTTAAATTTGTTTGAAACAGATTTATCACAAATCTCTTCTGGGATCACCTTCTAATCTATTTCTTGAAAAGAAGGTTTTGTGGTAAAATGAATATTTAAAATGTATTCTGTAGCTCAGGTGTCTCTTCTGATTTTATCTATCCTGAACTTTTCTGCTAATAGTGGTCTCCCCTTTTCCTCTGATTTTTCCAAATTCTAATAGATAATCATAATTTTCCTCTGCTTTTTTCTGCAAAACTTAATTTTGAAGGTTTTGATGGGATGTGGGAAATGACACCCAAAATATGGCAGCTTAGCATACTGAGTATTTTAAGCTGAAGGAAATTGAAAAAATCGTAGAAGCAGAAAGCTCTCTGTGAAGTTCTCTTGCCCCCTTTCCTTTAAAGAATCTAATGTTATTTTTTTAAAAAAATTATTTTTTACTCTAGTTTATTATATATGAGAGCATAATGTATTACAATTTATATTACACATATACAGCACATTTTTTCATATCTCTGGTTGTGTAAAAAGTATTTAGGACATCTTCAAATGTCCTGTCCTATACCTGGAGGGAAGGAACATTACAGCAAGAGGACAATAATAATCTGAATACACAGGTCTCACCGAGTTCCCTTCAGTTCATTATTATTTAGGTCATATCCCCTTTTTGACCAACCACACCTCTGTACAACTGTGCACTCTTCATCAACCCTAGGCATATAAATACTGTTTTGCTGGGCCTCTGATTCTTCATTTATAGAAGTTTCCATGTCATGTAACTTTCAGTTTAATAAGGTTATTGTGTTTTTCTCTAGGTAACCTGTTCTGTTATACAAGTGTGAGTCCTGAATACTCTGATAGGTAAGGTATAAAATATTCTCTCCTCCAATTTTCAATATTACTGCCACCTACTTATTATTTACCAGAAATTTTCATTCTGTCTCTTAGTAGTACTTATATTATTACTTGTATTGTTATTTAAATCTAGTAGTCTTGTTGCCTTTTTTGCCTACCGCCTATCTAGATTTTCAGTTTTTTGGGGCAAAATGACTTGTCAGTCCCCACACTGCCTGTGATAGCACTAAATTTGAATCACTACTTGAGTAATCTGAAAGGAAGATAAGAAGCTATTGATAGAAATACAATGGTGCATCACTGAGGGAAAGAAAATAAGAGTATATAAATTTATTGCCATGAAATAAGCACTTGTGCTAAGATGGATACATATTCTAATTAATAGCAAAGCTATTTTCACAGCTTGGTAAATTATATTTTTATAATTCATTTAAAAATTTAGGCTTGGATTTAGCTCAGTGATAGAGTGTATGTCTAGTATGCCAGAGGCCCTAGGTTTTATCCCCAGCACTGGAAATAATTCTGATTACATATCTTTATTATATAAACATTTGGAAAAAGTATGCATTATTTCTCATCCCAATGGCTTAAGTATTGAATAAAAATATATAAAAACATTCAGAGTTCTCAGAGGCAATTATCTGACTTAAATGAAGTAATATACAATCACTGATAATTGGGATTCACACCTATTCAATACTTATTCAACAAGTATTTATTGAATAAATTTTTTAACTAAGCACCGTACCACACACAGAAATGGAAAGATGGGCCAAATTATTTTACAAAGGATTTCCCCAGTTCACTATGATGAAGACTTGCCTATCAGAATTGCTAGAATTGACATTTAAATAAAGTGTTATGTAATCACCAAAATATTAAAAGACCAATTTAGACTGGAAAAGTAGTTGAAGAGAAGTTAAAATACCATTTTAGTTGGCTGCTATATGGTAGAAAATAAAAGAATGAGTTTTGCCATTGGTTGTGCAGCTCACGGACTATATGATGGAAAATAAAAGGGTGAAACACAGCCACATACAGCTAAGCATCAACTATTTGTGATATTTCCTTAGAGGACAGAGTATATTTTGCATCCTGTACAGAAATCACCGCACCACTAATTTGAAACATCAAAAGCATTGTGATTTTCACAATAACAAAGAGACTTTTGTTGCATAATAACATATAGTAATACTGTGGGCTTATAGTGCCCCAGTAGGGTCATATTTGAGAGAAAAGGAAATAGTATGAGAAAAATCATTGGAATAAGAAAGTGCAAAATTGTGTAGGGAATGGAGAATGAGTTTGTCTAGAGAAAAAAAATGTAATTAAGGATAGAGGGTAGGCACTCTAGGAGAAAATTTAGTATGATATGACTAGATTTAAACAGAGCATAATTTTTAAATGCTAAAAAGATTAAATTTCATTATTTGGGCAATTGAAAGCCACAAACTTAAATAGACATAATCAGAACTTTATTTTTAAAATACATTAGAGGCTGAGGGAGGAGGATCAAGAGTTCAAAGCTGGTCTCAACAAGGGAAAGGTGTTAAGCAACTCTGTGAGACCCTGTCTCTAAATAAAATACAAAATAGGACTGGGGATGTGACTCAGTGGTAGAGTTCAATCCCTGGAATCAACACACACACACACACACACACACACACACACATACACACACTCATTATATGTCGGCAGTGAGGTAGACTGAGTTATAAGACTAGTTTCTGGCACTGGTCAAGAGGCTGATTAAAATACTATCTATGACAATTATAAATTAAGTAAGTTTTGAAGGCTAGCAAAAATACACAAGTTGAAGAAAAGATGGAGAATGGGAATGGCAATCTCAATGAGAAGAATAATATGAATTATTAGGGCGATTATGAGATTTGGGAATGAAAAGATCTAGTTGAGACTTCTTTCAGAATAAAAATAATAAAAAAAATGTTACATGTTGACAGGGAGACCAAGTTGTAAGACTGGTTTTTAGCACTAGTTAAATGCTGTTTACTGCACATATTAATCAGTTTTTGTTGTCTGAGGTTGAGATAGGGAAAAACAGTTGCTTATTATCTATTCTATGATAATATAGGAATGCATAATTGTCTTTTTGTTTCCATTTTCCAAAGGAGAATGCAATAAACAAAATACTACTAATCAGAATTCAGCATTTAGTATGTAATATTTATATGTAATTGACTTCAAAGCTTCTGTCATATTAAACTGTACCCACCTATGTTCCTTCATTTGGTTGAGTAAATTCTTTTGGTATTTTTCTTCTTCTATTTTTTTCTGAACACTCAGCCATTTTTGTCTTAGGGTAGCATCATTCCTCTTCAGTCTGTCAATTTTAATCATTCCTTTGGTCAGAATAGTACGCTCATTATTTAGGGTTTGAACTATTAAATGTTCTTCAGCCTTTTGTTTTTTTCCTTCTAGAAACAGAGTTCTTCTCTCTTTAACTTTCATAAGGTATTTTAATTTGTCTTGCCAAAGTTGCTGTAAACTTTTCTGAATAGTGTTGTGATCTTTTTCAATTAGTTTTTTTATAGCTATTTTTTTCTTATTTATGCTTTCATGAACAGTTAAGCCAACTCTTTTTTTGTCAACTTGTGCCCTGGATACAGCTGCTATTTTTTCTTGATGGAGATCCTGCATCTTTTGTTCAGCGTAATATTTGTCAATATCTTTAAGGGTTTGGAGTTTTATACCGGCTCTCTGTGTTGTAAAAAACTGTCTTAAATTTGTCTCAGGTAGTGTGCCTTTTTTAATTACTGGTTTTGGATGGGTGGTAGGAAATAGATGGGCATGTTCAGGAAAATAGTATTGTTTTTTCTGTTTCAATACTGCATCATACTTCAATAAACCTGAAGTATATAAAGGTAGTTTGGATGCTGATATCCTAAAACTGGTATCCAGTACTTCATCCTCATTTTCATCTCCAGACTCCTTCTGACCTACATCATACAACAGACAAACACATATTACAACAAAAGTTAAACTTATTTTCTGTTCAAATTGTTTTGAAGGGTATATTAATAAAGTTGATGAGAACATACTATTTACTTCACTAAGAAGCATTTTCCCCAAATTGCTTTCCATTTTGTGATTTTTGGAGAGAAAAATCACTATTAAAACATTTTAACACAGAAATAAATTGAATCTGATTCCTGTTTTCATTGTTATTTCTCACAATTATTTAACTTGGACTGACTCAGCAACAGCATCTTATCTTATCCTTAGCACTTATAAATAGTATTTTTTCATTTAGTTTGCTGAAAGACAAACCTTAGACAAATTAAACAGAATTTAAATGAGCAAAAACAGTTTATGAATTGGGCAGGGTCTAGAAGAGTGGAGGTTCTAACAGCACCATTCCAAAACATGAGCAAGGATTATTATAGACACAATGTGGAAGTGACATACACAGAAACAATTTGATGGCTTATAGCTCAATGCTTTGCCTTATTTGGAAATAGTCTGATGAGTTGGTTGCCTATGATTAACTGAAGTTCAGTTGCTATGATTTTCTGTGATTTAGCTATTTGTTACAAAAATATTCTCCAAAGTTAGGCTTTTAGTTTTTCCACATATCAAGTTAACTTGCAGGGTTTTTTTTTTTTTTTTTTTTTTTTTTTTGTTGTTGTTGTTTTAATATAAGGGATCAAGGCATGGAAGCAGTTTAAAGTTAAACTTAATTGCATTTAACAAACTACTATTGTCTCATATTTTCCAATGATACACACTGTAATTAGTTTTACTTTATTTTTCTTAACTCTGGGGAAAACCAATAGCTACCATTTAAACTGTTTTTTTCCCCTCTTTGGATAGACAAACTAAATTTCTCATCTTGCTTTCCTATTTTGTGTGACTGTGAGCTAAGTCTCTTCCAGTGGAATGTGAACAGAAGTGTGATGCATCATTTCTTATCCAAGTCCTTTAAGAAATAAATAAGTCTCCTTTCTTTTCTTTTTTACTTCTGACCACTGCAGACATGAGAGATGGTGGAACCACAAGACTGAAGAAACATTGGTCCTAAATCATGTATTGAAAAAATAATTCCAAAAGAAGATTAGCTAATTTGGACTGTTATGGAACCTGAAATAATTAATAATTATGCTTAAAATAAGATTTATGTCTGGGTATATTTGTTACTATACCAATTTAACTAATACAACTTTAATCACATTGTTGCTCACATATCTATTTTTTGACAAGCATTGATGAATTTAGGATCTAATGGCAAAAGGAAGCATAGAAGTCAAGCTTAAATGATTCACATTTGACTGATTTTCTCTACCTATTGAAATTACATACCTGCCAATTCTATAAGGATTTTTTATTCTCTAATAGAAGATTCACATAATATCATTCTATTTCAAAATGACAAAGCTGATAGTGGTGAAGATAGAAGTGAAGATGGCCATGAAGAAGGGAAAGATCTGTGGTATAGACAAGTAGTAGGAAGGAAGTGAATATCCGAAGTTTTTATAAAGGCCAAAGGAGAATCTGCATTAGAAAAATAAGCAGTCTATAGCAAAGCAAGAAATAAAGTCTAAAAGTAAAAGTGGCAGTTTACCAGAATACAAAAAGCAAAGTGTCTAAAAATAGATATTAAAAATCTGGATCTGAAGCAAGACACTGGAAAACAAAGGACAAAAGCCAGTCTCTCATTAGTTGTTTGAATATAATCAGACCAGTCATATCCATGTTTAAATCTGCAAATCCAGCAGGACCACCATTGCAAGCACAACCATGTCCCCTCTGTTCTTATTACCATTCAATTTTTTTCATTAAACATTATAGTAAAAAAATATGGATAAGATACAGAGACAATTATCTTTTTATTCACCTGTACTAACAATTTAATTCAGATACGTATTTCACCTTTATTCTGTCCATCAAATTCTTGAAAGTCTCCTATGAAAGGCTTTTATAAAAATAAGTGCAAAGGGTACTATTTGGTTCTAATATTATATAAAATCTCAATAGCAATAAAGCACACTTGTGCTTTCTCCTTCCTTTTTCAAGATTCTATAATAATAATCTCTCCTATTTTTTTTCTGATTGTTCCTTCCTAGTTTTGTTTGCAGACACTTTCTTTTCTGCCAAATCTCTTTATATTGGACTTCTTGAGGACTTGCTACTAGGCATCCTTCCCATTTCTATCTACTCTCTTTCTTTATCTGAATAATCCTCATAACTTTACTGATAAACTCTCAAATTCATCTTTTCCACTTGCATTTCTTTTAGGTATCTTTTAAACATGCTATATTACAAAACAAGCTTTTGTTTGCTTCCAGAAATCTATTCCCTCTAAAACCTGTCTTCCTTACCTCAGTAAATGATATCTAATAATTTAGTCCCCTACATAAGTTTTATCAATAAGTCCTGTAGATGTTTCCTTCCAAATGTAACTCAAATTAATTGATTTTTTTCCCATCTCCTATCCCCTACTTTACTTCAGGTCTTTGCCAGCTCTTATTTTATCTATCACAATTTCCCAACGCATAAAAATTTTAATTGTTTACACAGTGATCAAGCCACAGTGATCCCTTTAAATTGTTCTTAAATGCCCTTATGATAAAATTCAAACTCCTTGCTATTGTCTATAAAGTTCATATTCTTTTGCATTGGTTTAATGAGCAAATATAAACTTCCAACTAGTTATGGTCACATTTATTATTCTATGCCTAAGACATGAATTAGTTCTGGGGGTAATTACCAGGCAAAATTACTGAGTTTCAGGGCTATAAATAACCAAACAAAAAAGTCAATTCCTTTGACTAAAGTTTTAAAAGTGAAAATTTGACATAGCTTAAAAAAATTTTATCTAATTTCACTTAAGGTCTTCAAAAAATGAAAATGGTACTGTTTGTCTGGAATATTACAGTCTAGTGAAGGAGAAAAGGCTTGTAACTTCAAAGTATTGTGGAAATTTTTAAAAATACAAACATAGAAACCTTGGAGGCATAGAAAAAAGACTATTTCATTTCAGTCAAAATAAGTGATTTGAGACAAAAATATTCCAGAGAATGTTGACAAAGATTATTTTACTAAATCTGAATCAGGCCCCTCTGAGTTTTCCTGACTAATTCCTTATCCTGGGCTCTGAGCTGGGTCTGTTCAGTCTAGTTTTAGCAAGAATTCTACTGATTAAGCTTATTCTCATAAAATTCCTTATCCTCCAAACTATATCTTATCACCCCAGACTGTCTTCAGAATGAATTTTGTGGAGTCAATCTAACAACAACAAACAAACAAAAAACCTACTGCATATCCTTGTTATTGGTAAGGCTGTGTACAGAGATATCATACAGAAGGGGAGAGAGATTAGGTTTACCTCTGAATATAACAAGGACAAATAATGATTTATCCATTAATCAGAGTGGGATCAATAAATTACAAATTACTAAGAGAAATCATTAAGTCTAAATATATTCTTACCCAGAAAATTCTTACTACAGACAGGCCAATGTGATAAGATAATGAAGTCAGTGGATTAGGACAGTGGACTCTGTTAGCAAAAGATGAAAAATTGGGGTAAATTAATAGTCAATGTAATATGCTAGATAGATATAATATGAAAAAGAAAAAAAATCTAGCCTTAATGTGTAAGTTTCTAAATAAATTACTATTTGCAAAGGGAATTGATATATGTACACACTTCATTTTGCCATGGGAAGTCTTAACTTATACCTATAACACTGGTGACTTTATTAATAGCAACTGCTATCAGTCTTAGAAAGGGCTAAGTTTAGAAGACAAATCATATAGTCACATTAGCTACAGGAACACAGATGAATAAATAGAATAAAAATAGGAGAGTAACATCATGTTATTTGTATTATATTAAGTTAAAGATCCTAATAGAATATCCAAGACTTGGTAGTTACTTAATAAGTGCTTTTTTTTTTTTCAATTTAAGGTTGGTTTTCAAAGTCTTTATAAAAGTTGAGATTGTGTCTGCTTGCTCACCATTGCATATCAAGTACTTAGAATAGCATGTGGTACATGGTAGCCTCTCAATAAATATGAACTTAATTAACTTTTTTTCTGAAGGCAGCTAGAGAAATTCAAATGTAATAGTCACTAGTTCTGAATTGTAATTAGATACTTTTACTTCTTATCCTTGACTCAGGCTTTTCACATTCATTAAAAAAGTCTCATTTGCATCACCATCTAAAATAAAATTATTTATCTTAAAAACATAAATGTTGTCATTTACTTAGCCCTTACCACTTGGTAAGCACTGAGATAAATTCTTCACATTAATATTACCATTTATTTAAATACTAGTAACTTGTAAAATTAGATATTATTGACCATTTTCAGAAAAAAATAGGTTTACCTAAGTCAAACAGCTGTCACACAGGGATAAAATACTAATATTTGGCTAACATGGTAAAAAAATTAAACAAAATCCAAACAAATATTTGAGGATAGTGAAGAATGCACAAGAACAAGTACATGTTAGTGGTCTGCTAAAACAAAATATCTACACTCTTATAACAGAATTCAAAGTATCACAACATAATATTTATGGTGTCCAAAATATAATCCAAAAAATATAATATTAATGAAATTACATCATAAAGAAAGGTAAGTGTAGGTGGCTAATTGGCCTACATGTTATCTGAATTCCATATTTTATTTGAAATATATAAAACTAACAGTAAGTAAGTTGAAGAAAGTGAACGATTTATATCCTAGAGAAACAAAATATATGATACAAAGAGCTTCAGTTAGAAATCCAACAGATAAATCAAGGTGCATTTAAAAAAAAAATATTTGAATGAGCTTTAAAACCTAGAGAGAAAAATAAAGAAAAAAAACAAGGCATTTAACAAAGAAGAAAACAATAAAATGATATACCTATGCTACAATAATCAATGTAATTAATCAATAACTAAATATTAGTAGCCTAAATACTCTTAATTTAAAAAGCAAAGATTAT